TTGGTCAATCGTTTTATTTTAAATATGCTGTAGGAGCCGTAGTTTGATGAAGTTATAAATATCACTACGTTTTGTGAACACAGGGGATTAGCTCAGTTTTTGTCGCTTGTTTAACTTCTATGAACTGCAGCGGCTGCAGTGCGCCACAATAAAGCTGATAAACAGGTGAAGAACCCAACTAGACAGAACCACTTCTGATTGTTTGCCAAGTCAAACATCCAATAAAAGTTCCACCAAGCCACTGCTGAGGCACTGGGGTCATGTTTCTGGACACAACCAAAAGAAGGTTCAATGTCCAAACTTATTGATTGTTCTTGGTGATTTATTTTCCTCTTTCACCAATTACAGAGATCAAACTTTCATTTGTTCTCATGCTACCACTCTTGCTCTGGTAAAAACCATCGGCCCCAAACCCAAATGCCTGCTGGTCCTTCACCAGGCCCCTACACTTATAGAAAGTGGACTGACCCACATTACTTCCTGTCTAAATTTAGAAAATAAATAAGAAAAATAATAAAACAAAAAATAAATAAAATCAACAATTATCAACCTACAAATAAACTCTGTAAATAATACAAAAAAATATAAATTTAAGAATAAAGTAACAAAATTCAAATGGATAAAGAAATAAAGAAAAAATAGCTCCAACAACTTCTATTCCGCCTTTTCTCGCTCTGTATGCCGGCATTACACACGACCCGTTGCCATGGCAACTGACAAACAACAGCTCAACGAGCAGATAGAGCAGAGATTACCGATCAGGGGAATCAACACCATAAAGCAAACATTTCCCACACAAAAAAGTAGCAAAAACACTAAAACAGAACATCCAGTCTGTTACATTATGTTGTCAGGCTTAATGTCTATATTGTGATTATTAATAAGTTTTCGCCTGAACACCGCGGTGGTTGATTAGCTGATTTAAACAGCTGCTCTACTGATGACTTGGTGGGTTGTTTAGTGCTAACGGAACCAAAACACACCGAACTGCGCAGCACATGCTAATGTTATCAAAGTCAATAGCAGGCTAACAACAGTTAGGCTAATATAACTGACCCACTGCTGTCTTGTTCAATGTTTTCTTTAAATTAAAACGTTTTCCTCACCTGTGAAATATGAAGCTCTTATTACCATTATCTATGGTTGAATTAACTGCTAAACATTGCGTCCGCTGTTCTTTTTCTTTGCGTGATTGTAGTATTTTCCTGACCACCGATATTCCTGACTCAATGGACAGCAATGGCGCATGTGTGACTTACGATAAATTACTAATATCCAGTCCAGTAACATATTTATCCATCAATGCTGCTGGCGCTTTGTCCTTCTCTCGCACTTCCCGCTACTTAGCAGTGGGTGTCAGGTTACATTGTGTTGCATTCAATGTTGTCGGAAAAAAGAGATTCATGCGCTTTATGTCCGATTTGCCATAACTATTTATTGAATTCACTGTCGCTAGCTGGGGTGGCAACAGGGGTGGCAAGGCTCTCGTTTGTAGATCCGCCCCTGGTTCGATCGAACCCCAGGGGTTCGATGAGTCGGTCTCAGGGGTTCGGCGGCCGCGGAGGTAAAGACACACTTATGTAAAAGTCGTGAATACGCCCCTCTTTGCCATCACTCGCTGCAGAGGATCACGTTACATTGCTGAGCCAATCAGAGCTGTGGAGCAGCTCTGATTGAAGGAGCTCCACTCTCAGCATGGATTTGAACTTGTGTCTTTAATTACTTCAGCAAAGCTCACAGTTTTTACCAAATTCTGCAGCTTTCGGTGTACTTCTAAATCTGCTCCTCAGTCACATCTTTTCGGGGTTGGTACTGCCTCTAGTGGCGTGGAGGTGGTAACACAACTAATATAATTACATTACTAAATCAGAATACCGCAAAGTCTTTATTATTTATTATAAATTTTTCATTCTCTTAAGAATGTAGAGCTAATTAAATGATCTAAATAAGACCTTATTAAAGTGGTTCCAGTTTCTCTCGATGGCCAACCTGTTAAAACTGTGGCAAATTTTAAATACCTCGTTCCTGGACAGTCAGCTCAACTTTGCTGAAAACACCGACTACATTTTGAAGAACTGTTCTCAGAGACTCTACCTTTTAAGAAGACTTAGTGAATTTGTGGAGGGTGGGGGGATCATACTTTATTTATTAACATTTTTGAGAACAAAAGACATGAAATCCTGCTTTCAGCCTGAAAATGTGTGCTCTCGAATTATGGCAGAAAAATTCCCCTGTAGTCTGGACTGACTGAATACATTTAAGCAGTGGTGAAGAAAGTACTCAAAAAATGTACTTAAGTAAAAGTACAAATACACAGACAAAAATGTACTCAAGTAAAAGTAAAAGTACCACATTAACATTTTACTTAAGTAAAAGAAAAAAGTACTGGATTTTAAAAATACTTAAGTATTAAAAGTAAAAGTAGCTACTTGCTGAATAATACCTAATCGCTAATATCATTAAGTGAACTGATCGTATTTCATTTTAATACATTAGAAATGTGCCATTTTAATGAACAATGCCACAGATAAAGCAGCTTTTTATTATGTTTACTCTGTAACATAGTTTAGACTTAGATATTTGATTCTATACATCATAATTTCAGGGATGGAAACATCTTGTCTCCTGTCCTAACATAGCATGAACTTCACTTTTTTTTGCCACTAGTGGCTTTTATTTTGAAAGAAATCCAACTGGCAGGGGAGGACATGGAAGTCCTATAGGACTTAGTAAAGATCCGTCCGGAAGAATCGGGTCGTTCCTGAATGTCATATCACTATATTGCACTTTGGTCAAAGCGTTGTCCCATATATGCGACACCTCAGTCAACACGTCCGTACAATAATTCACCACATGACTGACAACTTTTTTTCATCCAGATGCAACATGTGTCCCAGTACAGCTAGCTTTGCTAGCATCACGTCCACAGATCTTACCTTTCTTTAAGCTTTCCTTCCAAGTGACGCTAAAAGTTAGACTAAGTCCCCACCGTCTGTGAAAACGAAGCGCTGCTGATTTTACATGTCGCCATATCTTATGATTTATGCAGCTACTGTATTATCGAGTAGTTAGACATCTTCTCCCGCTCAGAGGAAACCACTGCGCATGTCTGGAGCTCCGCGTGCGAGTAAAGGTGGAGGCGAAAGCGCAACGCGACTTGGATGTAACGAGTAACGAGACACATTTGTAGAAATGTAGTGAAGTAGAAAGTACAGATACTTACTGTAAAATGTAGTGGAGTAAAAGTAGAAAGTATCCATTATTAAATCTACTTAAGTAAAATACAGATACACGATAAATGTACTTAAGTACAGTAACGAAGTACTTGTACTTCGTTACTTCCCACCACTGCATTTAAGTAACAGTGCTGCCAATAAGTGTCTTGAACTAATGTTCTTCTTTGCACTTCTCTGTGGTTGCTGGGTGTTGTGACACACTTCCTGTTTGTGTGACAGGAAGCACAGTTTGAAATACTTGCAGAAGATTGTACTTTTTCAGATTCTGCAAGGTGCCTGAAGAACGATCAACACACAGGTAAGACACAAGTACCTCTCTGTATGCAGGACTGCCTGGGTTGCTTGCTAGCTGTTCTAACAATGTGATAAAGTGAATTTGGTGGTGTGATTTGCAGTATCTTGGAGGAAAGTGACACCGACTGAATTTCCTGTTTGAGCTGGGGTTTTGGTTGCAGTCGTCATTTGTCTTAATGTCTCCATGGCTGATATACTCGCATTGAATCATTTTTGCAGAAGCCATGCTGACTCGCATATAGAAAGATTAAATTGTATTCTCTACAAAGCACCACATATCACAAAAAGATTTTGCAAGGTATTCTCATTCAAATTTAGTCCAGTTTATTCCAAAATGGCGCATTTCGATACACTGAGTCTCATGCACAGAAACAGGAGACTCAACTGCTCGATTGAGACACCGTGGAATTTTTTGATGATACTTACTCAGGTAGCTGTTCCAAAACATATGGTCTGAAATCTGTAAGGCAAAAAACAATGACAAATAAATGTTACCAAGTACTGTACCCTAGTAGGGGAAAATTATCTAGAGAAGGCAGGCAGACAGCAGGTCTCGCACCCAACCCTGCACTGGCAAGAGTTGCTTTGGAGCTTTTTGCGGGAGTCCTAATTCAGAGTGGGGTCCAGAATATTGATAGTAAAACTAAAAATCTTTCCTCTCGTCAACATCATGCTCCCCGTGGTGCTGAGACAGGCGGGTGGAACTGCAAAATGGACGGCAGAGGAGGACCTAAGGCAGAGGGAATGGAATTTGTGGTGACACTAAGGAGTTCTTAGAAATAGGAGGGAGTGAGGTTATGGATAGACTGCACTTATATAGTCAAGAGGATAAAAAAAAAAATACTGCCTGAAATAGGAAATAAGTTTATGGAAATCAGAGACAGCCACATGCATCTGGTGGCAAAAAGTTGCATCAAGCAGAAATCTGGAGACAAAACAGGAGTGGTTAGATGTTGTATAATACCCATAAATAAAGTCAGCTGTTCACAATTTTTATGTCAAAAGACATTAAAATTGTAAACTTTAGCTGACGTTGAGACATCTGCAAGGCATTACATGCCTGCTGACACACAGACTCACACACACATGGCAAGAAGAGGAGGAAAACAGTTAGCTGGTGATCGCCTGTGAAATTAATAACGATATATAAAATATTTAGAGCACTTTTTTGGACACTCAAGGCGATGTGATTGTAGGAGCTACTTCATAAAGGTCAACTATAGCACAACAAAATAGGACACCCACCACAGTGAAGTTGGGGCACCACATACCATCTGTTGCTCAACGGCAACCAAACTCCATCTTGGGTGTTAGAGGTGGTGGATTGATCCAAAATATTGAAAATATTCATACCAAGTCACTATCAGATGGATACTAATTCAATAAGATTGATAGTTCAGTTTTGCATTTCCTCTTGAAATTTTATTTTATTTTTGTATCGAGTACCTCTACTACTGACACAACAGTATTCCAGTCACCCCTATTAGTAACACAGGTATGGGTAACATATGGATTCAACAAGTATGTAACAACACTTAGCATAAGCAGTTACAAAGTCGGCCTTCTATCACCTGAAGAACATCTTCAGGATTACAGACTAATGTCTCAGCTCGATCTAGAGAAACTCATCCATGCGTTTATCTTTAGTTGCATTGATTACTGGAACAGCGTCTTTACAGGTCTGACTAACAAATATCCTCCAGCTGCAGCTGATCCAGAACGCTGCTGCTGGTGTTCTCACTAAAATTGGGGGGTTGTGCTGGAATGTATGGAGGTGGTTGTGTATACATTAAAGATCTGCTGTTGTTGTACCAACCTTCCAGACCCCTCAGGTCTTCAGGTTCTGGTCTGCCCTCCATGCCCACAACCAGAACCAAATGAGGAAAATAAGCATTCAGCTTCTATGCACCACAAATCTGGAACAAACTTCCAGAAAACTGTAAAACAGCTGGAAACACTGAGTGTTTAATTCTAGACTAAAAGTTGCTTTTGAAACGTAATGAATTAAGAATTTAACGATGGCATTTGACTTAATATAATGTTTTGATTGTTGGTTGTATGTTGCATGACTTTGTGGTTTTATGATGTGATGCACTTTGAAATGCCTTGTTGCTGAAATGTGCTATACAAATAACATTTGATTGATCGATAAGCAGTTTATTTGGAATGGTGAGTTGTTTCTCTGCCACAGACACGTTGAGCAGTGGATACACAAGCTTGACTGAGAGCGCTTGTCACAATGACAAATTTTGCTGGATGATACATTGTTTCAGAAGTTATTCCAATAAATTATATTTTTGTTTTGAGACCATTTTCAAGTAATGCAATGGTAATGACATAATGTAACAACAAATAAAATGAATTATGAAGTTTCTGTAAACAAAATTCTTCTTTAAAAAGGGTCTAGTTGAAACTGAACATTTTTGTTGTTCAGTTTTTGGTAGAGAGAGAGAGAGAGAGAGTAAAGATAAAAACAATGAATGATGCAAATGGACAGATTATCTGTCTCATATTATAAACTGTCAACATAGTGGCAGTTTAAGCAAATATGTAAAAAATATTAATTTATAAAAATTACATACTGCAGCTTTAAACATGTCAATCCACTTTCAAATCCTTTAAAAAAGACGGCAAAATAAACTCTGGTTCTAAACACAGAATCAGCAGGCAGAGAATTCCAGAGACACCAGCTCAGATACAAGAAAGTTACAGAAATACAGTTCATATCGTGCTTAAAGTAACATTTATTACTTTCATGAATTGCTTTGATGAATTTTTAAGTTTCTTGTTGTCTTGTGTTTGCAGGTTGTTTATCTTGTATGCCTCGTTTTAGGACACGGAGAAGAGATCTTTGGAGACAGGCTTCCAATAACCAACGTATAAAGATCAGTGGGTCTACCTTTCCAAGAGTCCTTCAAAAGACGTGCCTGTTAGCTAAAAAATAAATAAAAAAAAAAACAGCACACCACAGAAGATAGTTTGTTAAAATATACAGCATCCATATCGCAACCATGAAAGAAGAAGAGAACATTCTGGAGCGCAGCGATGTAGCCCCTGAACCATCGTCCATTGTGACTTTTGAAAACAAAGCTCAAAAAGCTTCAGGGTCAAAAATAGCTCCTCCAGTGGCACCCAAACCTGCTTGGTTTAACCCAAGTCTGAGGAAAATACAAGTGAATTCAGATCAGAGGAAGCAAACCAGTGATTCAAAGGAGATACCCGAGGCAGGTGTTACCAGAAGCTTTGGAGGCAGGTCTACCTCAGGTACTGTTAGCATGTCATTCAAACAAAAGATTCGCTCTTTTGAGACATTTTCTACTGCAGAAGCTCAGGAAAAAAGAGCCAGCAGAAGCTCCACTCCCCATTCCAACTTGCTTACTTTGTTAAAACAGGAGTCTGAAAGTGCCTGTCATTCTTATCCTGCCTCAGACAGACATGATGGCAAGAGCAAACAAGACATCCCAAGAGAAATGCAGTCAGATCAGTCAACATTTGTTGTAAAAGAGAACATCTCTGTTCCACCTTCTGTCATCACATCAGCTATGGACCAAGATTACTGTCAATCTAAAGCCAAGATGTCTGAAGATCAGCTTTCTTGCTATGAGATGGGTATTAATAACCTACCGTCTGACACCACCTGCTTTGAAACCGGCTCTGTAATGGATGATGCTAATTCAGTCTCTGTCCATGATGGTTGCAAACTCCAACCATCCGAAAAGGAATCTGAGTCAGAGAAAGTGGATATCAGCAAGTCCAGTGTCTTACCCTCTGCTTCCTTAGTGAGAATGAATCAAAAGGAAGGAGAGAAAAATTTAGATGAGAACTCTGGAAATGATTGTGAAGAGCGTCTGAGAACAGCTCAGAGCACTTTCCACACAACGGAGTGTCAGCCCCAGAAGAGCCAGGAGGGAGAACATTTTGGGAAAATTATCGCCTTCAGCAATCAGGTAATGTGTTACAAAGTAAAGAATTTTAATTATGTATCTTATCTGTTTTGTAAATATTTGCAAATATAGAGCCTGGCTTGAAAAAAGAGCATTATTAAGTGTTAATTGACAGAGGCACAGGCGAGAAAAATTAGCAATTAACAAAAGATGTGAGCAGGAGACCAGGATGAGAAATGACAGGAGACAGAAAACAGATCGATCATACCCCCTCTTCATGGGGCAGTTCTTTGTGTCTCTCTGGATTCAAAGGGATCATGACAGGTCAGGGTTTCAGAGTCTTGTCCAAGATCATACAAGATCACGAGATCATACAAGGCCCATAATCCTTCCAGTCCACTAGATGGCGCACACCACTACCTCAACACTAGAATTAGCAGACATTCTTCTGCTTATATTATTTAATTAGCCTTGAACAGTGAAAGCATATATGCTCAGAGGCCTATACATAATAAAAGCTTGAAAACATTTACCCAAAGTTGACCCCGGAGGGAAATTTTAGTGTTGGAATTAAAAATGGGCGTGGCCAAATGCCTCTACGGCTCACGGGAGGATTCTTAGAGACTCCCTGAGCAGGATGGAGGGGGGGGGGGAATCGACTTCTTTTGGGGGCAAAATGAATGTACGTAGCTGGACGTAGCTACACCATCGGTAGCCTACAGGCTACTTGTTAACAAGCTTAAGATGATGTATTGATATTAGCTAGTCATCTTTTAGCTAACATTACCTGCATCCAACAGCTTTACTCAACTCAGTCGGTTAGTTTGGAGGAAAAACTGTGAAAAGTTCTTTGCGTTTTGCTGGTTTGCTGCCGTGATTCTAACACAAACCTACGTAGCTCCGCCCAGCAGCAGCAGGTCTCCTTCACAGGTGGAAACCCAGCGCGAGCGTCGTAGCGCTCATGTTGCGTTTAAAGGCGGCTCGGAAAAACAGGTTACAATATGTTAACAACGGATTAAACAGTTTTAACTGCTGATAAAAGTGACAGAGGACACAGATATGGGAAGTGTGGAAGCCTCTACTGCCGGGGTGGCCAAGTCCAGTCCTCGAGAGCCACCATCCTGCAAGTTTTAGAAGTATCCTTACTCCAACAGACCGGGATCAGCTCTACAGAGGCCTGATAACGAGCCAGTCATTTGATTCAGGATGAGGTGGAAGGATTCTATCTTTTTACAGATAATCTGTCTCATATCATACTGTCATAACATAGTGACACATAAATTTGTAAAAGAAAAAATCAATTTTATGACAGTTACATACTGCAGTCTTAATGCATTTGAGATTAAAAGTTATCAAAAATGTAATGACTCACTAGAGCACAGGTGTCAAACTCCAGTCCTGGATGGCCGCTGTCCTGCAACCTTTAGATGTTCCTCTGCTGCACCACTTGAATAGAATAATTAGGTCATTAGCAAGGCTTTGGAGAACTTATCTATACAAGGAGGAGGTAATTAAGCCATTTCATTCCAGTGTTTTGTACGTGTGGCACATCTAAAACCTGAAGGACAGCGGCCCTTGAGGACTGGAGTTTGACACCCCTACACTAGAGGGACCTGGAAGAATCAGTCATGACACAGGGGTGAGCAAAAATATCAGATTTTATTAAAAGATAGAGCAGAGCGAGCACACTGGATCGTCAGCTGCAACACTGCGAGGCACGGGGGAGAGATCAGTGACTTGAGAAATACTTCAGAAGGAATCTGTTGGTGTGTGTGATTGGTCTGCCAATCAAGTACTGTAATGATCGGAGGAAGGACAAGGAAGGGAGCAGATGCTGCACTGACAGAGGGTTCTGGGAGGAGTACCAGGGGAGGAGAAGCGATGATGCTAGGCGATGTTCATGACGACGGACTCAATCCCCCTCCACGTTCAGCAAAAGCACAAAATCCAAATCCAAATCTTTGGTCAGACAGCCTATGGTCATACACGAAGGGGCAGAGAGCAGAATAGGTATCCAGAGGAGTAGGGGTGAGTGGGGAATCTGAAAAACGGGCATGGGTCGAGATTCAGATAGGCAACTAGCGACAATCCAACAAGGGCAACGTCACAACAATGAGGTTGAGATGAGAGTACTGGAAAACTACTAGTGAAAAGCGTTCGATAATCTGGCAGCATGAGTGTGACTGAGAGAGGGTTAAGAAGGGAAACAATCAGGGAGCAACACAGGTGCAAGGAATGAAGGTATTGAGGAACGTAACATGGATCGGCTCAATGCAAAAGACGCGGCACCACATGAGCATCACAAAAAGCTTGGGTTTCATGTATGCCAAAGGGTGGGGCTGGATGTCTTTTGTTTACTCTTTGACTCATACAGATTCCAACTTGTGTCTGGTGACAGAATCAGGTGATACTGTATCCTTCTCTCCACAATGTGTGATGGCTGGACTGGGGCTGGAAGAGTAGCAAAATTCCCCTCTCTCACTGTTTGCACACGGTTTGCTCTAAATTTCACATACATCATCTGATTTGCACCAAACTGGAGATGAAATACTTTTTTTTTAACTTCTAAAGAGGCGAATTGGATTACTTTTGAATTTGACTCCACTCCCTTAGACTATTTTCAACAGCTGTATCATCATCCAGTCAGCTCTAGATTTTGTGTGCATCATCAAGGACTGCTCAACACATTGGTGTGGTAGGTTGATGACATCACTCAACCATTTAGAGAAGAATCATGATTATTTGGTAATTCCTCCAGCTTCTCCCTGCATATGATTATAAGATTGAAACTGTATCCTCTAACCATTGAACACCACACATGACATGTTCCAAAGCCTAAAGGAAGTCCTTGCCAAACCTTTGCCATGAAACAGGAAGTAAAAATAATTCCTGTCTGGAAGGTCCAATCTTGGCCAACTTGTCACTGTACTTGTACTGATTTGAACTGAAGGCAATTTGACAGATTTGCCGAATGTGCCAGCTAGTGGACCCATATGAGAATGGTGTGAGGGCATTGATGATGGTGATGGAATCATCATCCAGATCCCATCACCATCTGGGCAATGGGATTTGGATGATGGGAAATGATGGGCAGCCCTCACAGCTCAGCGAGAGCTGCTCAATGTTACTTGCAGCTTTAAATATAAATATTTTAATTGTGTCTATTTTTCTAGGTTTCACAAGCAATATTGCGTTCCCTTCCTTCTTCTGACCATGGCAACCCTCAATCCCAAAAATTTCTGGAGACTCCACTTAAAGATGTTGACAATCCCCAAGAGTCTGAGCTGGGTAAAGACTGCACAAACAAAGGTTTCTCTGTCAGGTGAGATTGCTAAAATGGGTTTGGGTTTTCAGACAGATGCAGAAAATGTTCACAGGCGTGTCACCACCGTCATACTCATGTTCGTATTTCATCTTTATGACAGCCTAGCCACTCTGACAGAATGCACCACTGAGCAAGGAAGGCAGACCTCTGACCGAGAAACCTACGCTCATTCTGTCATCTCAGTTATCCCTTCTCAGGAAATACAGAAGATGATTGAGGAAGTTGAAGCTTTGGATGAAGAGACACTGAAGGTACAACCCCCCTCTCCCCAAAAGATAATCTTTAATAAATTTGTGAGCTCTTCAAATTTAGGCTGAAAAGCACAGAAAGCAATATCAATCTTTAAGACTGCATGAAACTTTTATCTTTGAAGAACCTTGGATAGTATGAGTTACAACATTTAATGCCCCTTTGTGATCAATAAAGTATTTTTGAATTTCAATCAGAGACAAAGTTCAGTTTATCTCCTTAAAATGGTCTTTTCCAAGCTATGCAAAGCATGCCTAGGAGTTTTGGTTAACACAGAGAAGACAGTTGCCGAAGAAAATTGTGAACAAAGTTTAATTTGTATTTTAAAAGAGTAATAAATCACAGTGAACGGCAAAACTTTTCTGGGGTGAAACCAAAACACGGGTCGCCATTGAAATAGCAACAAAAGTTGAACATTTTTCCGTTCTCTTGTGTTACATCTCCAGTCCACATGTGCATGTCTACATGTAACAAGCTTGAAATTTCACATGCACAAATTTCGCCAGTCGCTTTGCTGGAGGAAAACAAGTTATTTTCGCCTCATCGCACAAGTTCCATTAAAATGAATGGAGAAGGAGCGACATTAACTATGTGTTGTAAAGTCATAGACGTATATTTCTGTGCAAAGTCAGGTAGCTCAGGTAGAAAAATTACAAGACTGGTAATCATAGAGCTCTGATTTCATGACTGGCTCCACATCCTGGGGCAAAACAGGTCTATTTTTAAATTTCTAAGAAACATCTAAAAACAGGTCTACACATTAAAAAAACTTAGTGCTAAATAATTTTTTAAGAAAAATTAAAAATAAAGTTTTAAAATGAAAGAAAACAACAACTAAACTCTGTTCATAATTCTGCTTCATACTTCTCAGCAACTATTGAACATCCATGTTGTGATTCTGCACAAAGACGTAGGAGCAGGGTTAGGCTTCAGCATCGCTGGAGGATGTGACCTGGAGAACAAAGCTCCAACAGTAAGGAGAACCCAGAGGACATTGTTAAAATATCTTTTTGCCATGACTCAGATTGCATATATTTTGTTTCTAGGACACTATCTACAGTGGTGGTTGATGGTATTGCATGTATTACATTTTCATTTGATCCCTGTGGGTTAGATAAATTCAGTAGTATATAAAGTAAAAGAATTGTGCCGAGAGCAACACCTGTCTTATAACTACTAATTGTCTGTCCATCTTGCACTCTGATGTACCATAATTTCTGAAAAAAATGTAAAGTTACTGAAACTGCCTTGCTTGCGGCAAAAATCAACCCCTTACCTGGAGAGAGCGTTCCACCTTTTCCAAATGAGATCTATGTGTTCAAACTTAGAGAGGCTGGATACTTGTCCTAGCTACCGAAAGCTGCACATAAAATTATATCATCGCTCTTCACCATATTTGGAAGTGTGACCAACACAGGCTGAATGGCTTCCTTCACTTCCTCTGCTGCCATTGCTAACACTGCAATGCAGAAAGTCATTGACATCATTCGCAACTTTTCCTTTTGTTTGCTGATTGGCCTGGTAGAAATTCTACTAGGGAAATCCATATCAATTGGAGAAAGCCCAGACAGAGCACTGAAGTGAGATTAGAATTGAGCATAATTGTGTAGGAAGGCCAGACAAGGCAGAAGTTCCAACTATGGTGCCTCCATAGTTGGAACTCTCTCATCCACTTTGTCAACAACTGAGACC